TTTCGGCCAGCAGCCCGGGTCTCCTGTGTTTCTAATTCCTGTGCTGTGACCGTCTTTCGTCGACCCACTTGCTTCTGGGATGGCTTGACTGGGCCCGGAGGCACTCGAGACAAGGCCACGTTGCCCGGATGGTCGATCTTGCGGGAATTGTCCGCGGGTCTCCAGGGTGCCAGGCTCCTCGGGCTGTCACTGTCCCTTTCGCGGCTGTCCCGGTCCAAGTCCACGGTTCGCTTTCGCCGGAGCGAGGACAATGTAGGTCTTGCTAAGCTTTGCCCTTCGCTTTTCCCACTTTCCCCATCTGTGAACTCATTCGACTCATGCCAGCAATTCTGCCAGCCAGGCAGGATGGCCTCATCTGTCAGAGCCGGAAAGGCTCTATCAAACAGGAACCTATTTGCACGGCCTTCCCGATAAGCAATCCTTTTTTCAAGATCTGTCTGCTCATCTGCTGTCGATTGCAAAGCCTCCCGCACAGCTCCTTTCAATGAGCTACTCTTGCTCTTGGGTCGAGAAGGGGACGGAATTATGCCCACAAAATAAGTCTTGGAAATCTTCTTGCTGGCCCTGCATGGCCGAGGCAGCGTGGGTATCGTAGGTGGCAGCTTCCGCTGTGACTTTACGTGCGCCAGTGATTCGGTACGAAGCTGCACTTCAAAGACTTTTGAGGAACTGGCCGCAAGGTAAGGCGGCGACAGCTCGACCATGCGCAAGTGCACGCTCAGCTTGCAAACAAAAAAGCGAAGAGTACACGTTGCGGACTTCGAGCAATTAGGGCTGATGAGTGAGTAGAATTATGTCATCACTGGACTTGGCTCGCTTTGGTTTGCCTTTTCTTCTCTGCCCTTCAACTGTAAGCCACGGATGACATAAACGGGTCTCGCTCTTTCGCTCTCTCTCGCTCTCTCTCTCTCTCTCTTCCTTCCTTCCTTTCCTTCCTCCCTTCCTCCCTCCCTCCCTCCGTCCCTCCCTTCCTTCCTTCCTTCCTGTGCAGATGCTCCCTCTCTCTCTCTCTTGTCTGCCCGGGCTTTGCAATGTGAACAGGAAGGGGGTCAGGGAAAAGCTAAGCTGCACCAACAGAGCTCAGAGCAGTGCCGGGCACGTATGCTGTGACGGCTCGCATTGGGGTCTTGCCTGGGGCAATGCTGTAGTGGCTTCTCACCCCGCATTAAAGGCAGGCGCCTATGGCATGTTTGCTTATCATCTCTCCGTGCATCGCTCGCCGGATGTAAGCATTTAACTACATCATTCCCTTGGCCCTGTGGGCGTCATGTGGACGTGAGGCGTCCCGCCTTCGCATTTCGTCTCTCTCCAGTAGCTGTTCATGTCGTTCTGTTTGTTTTTGGGCGGAGAATTATTTTTGTACTTTTTTTTTTTTGTACCTTTTTTTTTGGGTGGGGGGGGGGGGGGGGTTGTGCGGAGGGGGGGGGGGAGGGGGGGAGGAGGTGGGGGGTGGGGGGGGAAAAAGCGGGGGGTTGGGGGGCCCCCCCATTTGCAAGCACGATTCTCGCATGATGGGTTTCCAACAATGTATGCATATGCTTTGAAACAAGCTTACGCGGCTTCAAAAAAATTGCAAACACGATTCTCGCGGGTTTTCAAAAATGTATGTTTATTCCTTGCAGCAAAAAAAACGCGCGGCTCTGGGCAATTTTTCGCGGCCTGAACCCAAAAGTCTTAAGCTGCAGTACGGACTCTGGGCCTTTGCTTCCCGGCCTGAACCCCAAAGTCTTAAGCTGCAGTACGGACTCTGGGCCTTTGCTTCCCGGCCTGAACCCCAAAGTCTTAAGCTGCAGTACGGACTCTGGGCCTTTGCTTCCCGGCCTGAACCCCAAAGTCTTAAGCTGCAGTACGGACTCTGGGCCTTTGCTTCCCGGCCTGAACCCCAAAGTCTTAAGCTGCAGTACGGACTCTGGGCCTTTGCTTCCCGGCCTGAACCCAAAAGTCTTAAGCTGCAGTACGGACTCTGGGCCTTTGCTTCCCGGCCTGAACCCAAAAGTCTTAAGCTGCAGTACGGACTCTGGGCCTTGGTTCCCGGCCTGACCCCAAAAGTCTTAAGCTGCAGTACGGACTTTGGGCCTTTGCTTCACGGCCTGAACCCAAAAGTCTTAAGCTGCAGTACGGACTGTGGGCCTTGGCTTCCCGGCCTGAACCCAAAAGTCTGAAGCTGCAGTACGGACTCTGGGCCTTTGCCTGCAAAAACATCAGCTGCAGAACGGCATTTTGTACTGGAAAACAAATGGAAAACACAGCGTGGCTAGGGCATTCATGGGCAAGGTTGGCATGGGGCACACAGAATATCAGAAACTCCTGCGAAAAAATTTGCGAGAGTTTTGTTCCTTTGACAATGGTCTGAAAATGCGCTCTGCACGCTATGCTTTTCAGGGCATTTGCGCTTTTTGCGCTTTTTGCGCTTTTTGCGTTTTTTGCGCTTTCTGCGCTTTCTGCGCCTTTTGCGCTTTTTGCGCTTTTTGAAGCCTTTTGGCGCTCTTGGCACTTTTTGGGTTTTAGCTTTGTTTTGCGCTTCTGAGCGTTTTGTTTGTCCTTTTTTTTGGTGTTGGTTGCGCTTCAATATGTTGTGTGTATGGTATCTATATATATATATGTATGTGTATATATATATATATATATACTAGATAGACTATATAATATACATCATATATAAATAAATATAAATATAAATATAAATATACATATATATACATAAATATATATATGTATATGTATGTATATATGTATAGATATATAGAAATATATGGAAATATATAAATATGTATATATATATATATAATGTCTATGAGAAATACAACAAAAAGACTATATATATATATATGTACATAAATATATTAAAATATGCAAATATATATGAATATATAAAATATTACTATGAAATCGAATAGATAATAGTATTCATATATTAATATTTCATATATTCATATATTCAGATAAAATATTCATATTTCATATATTCAATATTCATATATTCATATATTCATATATTCATATATTCATATATTCATATATTCATATATTCATATATTCATATGTTTATATATTCATATATTCATATATTAATGTATTAACATATATATATATATATATTAATGTATATATATATATATATTAATGTATATTAATATATTACTATGTGAATATCATATTATACTGTATACATGTGTTTATCTTTGCAAAATTTACTTTACGTACTATAGGGTCAGGAGGCTCAGAGGCCCAGGAGGACCCGTGAAAGGGCGCCAGAGGACCGAGAGACCGCGGGCCGAAAAAGCACAGGACCAGCAGACCACGAGACCAGCAGACCGGGAAACCAGCCGACCAGGGGACCAGCAGACCAGGAGACCAGGGGACCAGGAGACCAGCAGACCAGGGGACCACGGGACCAGGAGACCACCAAAAAAAAAAAAGTAACAAAAAAAAAGTACCAAAAAAATAGGCCCTCCTTTGTTTTTTGTTGTTCGCCTCTCTTTCTGCCTCTACGTGTTGTTTAGTTTCTTGTTTTAGTTATTTCTTTCGTTCTTTCTTTCTGCATGCCTGTGCACCTTCGGCCCTTCGGTTAGCCATCCCACCGCACCAACAACATTCAGCAACTGGCCATGACAAGCGTATGCTGTCGGCTAGCAATGCCTCATCGCCTCCTGACTTGCTTAATCCATGCCGGCCTCTGTAGAGCGAGCTTGCAACGCCCACTTCCTAGACAGTTCCTTCTTGGGCATGGGAGATGACCTTCCGCGACGCCGCCCGCGGCCACCCCGTCCTTGAGCATGCGTTGCAGCAATGCTTCGTTCGCACTGGTCCTCCTATGTCCTCCTGCATTTACATGGCCAGGCTGCCTGCTCCAGATGGGTGGGCCCAGGGGGTGCAAAACCCCTCTTTGGGCGTGGCTGCCGTTACCTGCGGAGGGCAAGGCCTTTTCGAGAGGAACTCGATGGATGCCGTGAAAAGAGGTGTTTCTCCACTGAAAACGAAAAAGCTCTAAGCTTGAAAGTAGAACCCCAATAGACCCAAAACCCCGCTCCCCCTTGCTGCAGCAGGTCGTTTCACTATTCCCTGGCCCCTTTCCGCGAGCACGTGAATGGAGGATGCCGCATTGGGACATGATCTCATCAGACACTTCTGAGGGATCAGTCGGTCACCCTGCTGTCCACAGTACTCTGGGACTGAGCTGCGTCCCAAAGAAGGGTTGTGGACCACAGCGACCCGCATACCACCCGCATGATGACGCCGCCTGAATACTGGCGACCGCCACAGCGACCGCCTCCCTTTGCTCGGGCGTCTGGAACAGCAGCGGTGGCAGCTTTTCAAATCTTCCCACTGCTGAGCTTTTCCCAGGTTCTAGGACTTGTTTTCTCCCCGTAGCACAAAGTGAGCCCCATAACCCACACCAACCTAACCGGTGTTGTGGGAGCACTTAACTCGTTCTGCTCGCTGCACGCCTTCAGAAGACGACATAGGCACGCAATTAGAGGCGTTTCCCCCACAGATTCGTTGATGAGTAGATCACACGGCCCATCATAAACAAGCCTGTGGTTCACCGCGGGCCCACGCTAGGCCGACTGTGCCCGAATGCCACAACCGGCTTGGCTTAGGTCTTTAGGTGGTGTGCTGGTTGGCTTGCTATGGGCCTTTTGGCAGCTGCACCTCGGCATGAGTTCAGCCTCTTTTTCGCGACCCCACACTCTTCGAACTAAAGCAGATTAAATAAACACTGGGTGTTGCACCGGTGTGCCCTGCAGCCCGGTTGATTGCCAAACCCAGTGCACATCGTGCACACATCTAGATTTAGATGGGCTTACTGCGTTCTCAACCAAGCTGTAACAGTAGGGCAGGACCCCGGCTTGCAGTGGTCGACTTGTAGCTTGCATGGAGTCCCTCAGGCTGCTCTCACCAGGCACTCCCTCCTTCCCTCAGGCCTTCAGGCCGATGGAATGTGACTCATGTGACTGCACCATACTGCACATTCTGCGCGTCTGATGCAAGCATACACGTCAACACACAAGCATCGGCGGCTCGCACCTTGGTGCAGTTGCTTCCCGAACCAAGGAGGGTCTGTGTTGTAAACCGAGAGACTGGCTCCATCACGGGTGGCCCGCCAGGCATGCACCTGTCATCCCACAGTTCGGGCAACCGTTTCGCGCAACATCACCCTTTCAACCGAAAATAACCTCGCCGTCCCGACCGCTTCACGGCTGCTTGTTCGTCAACGTGATCGAACACGCGCTGGCCTCAAGGCAAAAAACAATCAAAAACAACAACGGTGTCCAAACCTCGAAAGCAGACCAACGGAGCACTTGCATCCATCGTCTGAAGGCGCTTTTAACATCAACTGTGAACCATCGAAACATGCAACACGTGAAGGTCCACAAACTGCACAGGCGTCACATGTGCACAGCAGCCGGATTGTCCAAGCCACCTGGCAGCCACCTACAAAACAAAACTTCGGAAACAATTAATACTAGCAAGGATGGATGTGGAAGAGAACCCGCTATCAGCTCACCCATCTCACCACTTTATGTCTTGCGTGGAGGAGTGCAGTTCGCGACCGTGCTTGTGCCAGAATGTCAAAACTATCCGAGCATCTCCCTGTTAGGCCACCGGCAGTTTCCTGTGTTGCGCCGCGCCATGCCGAAAGTGTCAAGCATGAAATCCTGAACAGGCTACTCAGCGGCTACTCTCGGCTCTCTACATGGCTTTCCAGGACTGGGAACCCTGCCCAGTCTTTGGACCGGCCGGCGAAATGGTGCAGAACAGCCGACCTGAGAACACCCTGTTAAAACGGAACTTTCACCGCTCACCTTCCAATTGCGTAAGGGATCGTAAGAGCATAGCTCGGACAGGCCTCGCGCACCGACTACCTTGCGAGCAAGGCACAGCTCGCATCACGTTCTGGCTCTCTTGGAGAATTCCAAGCACCCGTCGTGGTTCACATCCACCAGGCGTGGGTCGGCGAATCGAAAAAACATTGATCGCCTCGCGCCAAACGGCCCCTTAGGCAGCAGCATGTGTTCTCCAAGTCTGATTTGCGACTTCTCGATTTAGCAGCGGTTTTGATAAGGGCCTGACTGCCAATCGTTCGGCCGTTCGCCACCAGCAAAGTGCATACAGCGCTATCTGAGGCACGACATTCATGAGTCTCAGGATAGCGGGCACATCGCGTGGGCATGGACACGCTTTCACATGTTGGCATAGAAGCCGATGAAAAGAACATGCAATGGGTCAGCGCAACAGGGCTTCTCGATGCTTCTCGCTCTGCATTTCAGATGCACGTGTCGTTCCGTCACCGGTCAACCGTCATCCTCCGAGGCCTGGAGGCGTAGGAGTCTTGAGCGCATTCACACATATCCACCACCCTGTCTAGCCGAACAGCATCCGGAGCGGATGGCAGCCCCCCCCCCACCCCCTGTGTGCAAATGAAAGATTCTGTTAACGTGTGTTTTTTGAAGTGTGTTCGCTTGCAGAGAAGTGGCACTCGCAATATGCCCATGGCCATTCCAATGTTGACGCGGGTGTGCTGTGAAGTGAACACTGTGATGGCCAGCTCTGAAACCATCCGGTGCAGAAGAAGACACTCTTGAGGCGGTCGAGGGCTTTGAAAAGCTCGGAATCTTATCTAATGGCGAGGACGCATGGGTTTGAGCCACGCAATGGCATGTTGGAGTTGGAATTCCGGTGCTCATGTTGGGTTGGTGGACGGGCGACCGTCCCTGGTCCGGATCACAGGCTGATTTTACCGTGTGACCATGTCCACCTTGGCATGCCAAGCAAGTTGCATACACTCGCACTGCGCCCGTCATCTTTTGTGAGGTTGGTCATTGTGCTCCGATCGGTTTCCCTTCGTTTGCCTTGAAGGACGATCAGGGAATTGATGACCTCGAGGATGTGGTTTGATGTCGGAAATATTGGAAGGGTCCAAATATCCAGAAAGGAGCGTTCGTGCTTGCTTCTTGCGCCATGTCATTTCCTTCTCGTGGAATTGAAGGATTCCTCGATGTTTGTGGGTACGATTGGTGATGCATTGTCAGGCCTCTAGGTTTGTCGAATAGTTGTTGACGGTGAGCGGCTTTCATTGTCAGTGCAGGCGTCAGTGCAGGCTGCTATAACTTCAGCATTGTGCAAGCAATGTTTATGCCGATGCACGCTGCAGAGCTCTCAAGTTGCTCTGATGGGTTTCTTAACAGCACGGGCTCAAGATTCGCAGATCAAAACATGTCCGAACCAAACTACGAGGACCTTTGTTTGAAAGTGTGAGCCCCTCTCACAAAAGTTATGCTCTTGGCATGTCTTCGCGCCTCGTGGTTGCCCTTGGCGTTGGGCCAAACGTACTGTGCGCATTCAGAGTCGTAGCCTGTTGGCAGCGGCAAGAAGTACTTGTCTGCAAACTGCCCCGTGCCATGTTCGGGCATGAAGCTTCTCCAGGCCAATTCTCCAGCATCCTAGTTCCCCAGGCCTGCTAGCTTTACAACTTGCACAGCAATGGCACATCAGCATGGTTAGCTGCGAAAGTTAACGAGCTGTCTTGGCACATCTTGGTCTGCAGCTTCCTCGATTATCTCGATTGGATTTCTGACATAACTTGACTGCCCCTCTTCCCACACACACACTTCGTCGCAAGTTACACCTGAGTTACGCCTCTTTCGTCCCCAAACTTTCTCCACAGCATGGCACTCTCACCAGCTTAAGTCTTAAGTTTAAGTGCCGCAAAACGAGTGCTTAAATTTATCTCAACTTTTCTGTTTCCACGTGCGCTTGGACAGTTCTAGCCCATTGGCTACATACACCGCAACTTGGAAAAGGCACAATACATGCGCAAATGCCTGAGCACGAGCTTCACGGATGTCGGTCAGAAGATGAAACACCCTCAGATTCTGAACCCATCTAAACGAAAAGAGAACTACGGTGCCCAATCTTATCCAGCATCCTGCCATTGCAGAGCCAACATCTCCTTGCAGTTTGCAGAACTTCGGATCTCTCAAACCAGCAACAGAGCAAGGAGGACAGACAGGGGCACAACTACACATGGGGTGACGCTCCTGAACGTGTTGTGTGTTTGAGGCTGGCCAATGCTGGCCATGCCGGAAGCCATCCGATCTAGAAAACGCGACATGTTCTCATGTTCTTACAAAACTGCAAGCAAGCCCCATTGAGGTTGATCAAGATTTATCACAGAGTGACCGGGCAAAAACACGCACAACGCTCAAGCATGCTCAAGCTGCTACGAACTCCAACTGCCACTGTGCCTTCCTCACCGCGCTTTTCGGCCTCGGGAAGCAGACAGTATATAATGCTACATGACTAAATGTGTTGTCCCTGTGTCGCTACATGACTAAATGTGTTGTCCCTGTGTCTAGAGCTTCAGGCGCTGTAAAAAGTTGAAGTGGCCAGTGCTGGCGACGTGCTATGATTCCTGCAAGTCGCCTCCATGCCAAGAACTTCCAGCACGGTCTCATCAAAGGCCCCTTGATCCTTCTCGATGTTCTGCATCCAAGCCGCCTCTTGGCTTGACTTTCTGCTACCGTTGCTAAATCCACGCTGTCTTCTTCTTCTTCTTCCCATTCCCCTCCCTCTCTCTCTCGTCTGAAAAAGCAAGTCCCTGTCTACTTGCCTACTTGTTTGTTCGCATCTGTCTAGCCTCTGTCAAAAACCTAAAGTGCGCGCGGCCTTCTCCAGGAGGAGATCCAAAAAGAAGTGTCCACGTTTCGATGCTCGAATCAGCACGACCTTGTGTTCCGTGACGGTCGTGTCACAATGCATGCGAGGCGACTGTGCAGTCCCGACAACGCGCACAGCGCCAAAATCAGCCGCTGTATTTCAGCTCAGCAAATCACGACAGCTCACATCAGCAGCCGGCATGCGAACATCATGCGAACCAACAGCTCATAACTCCATGGTTCGGAGGCCACCAATGCTGGCAGGTGCTGAAAGCAAACCCATCAAGTCGCGCACCCCATTGTTCAGGGTCTGTGGCCGTCCGAAATCACGAGTGGCGACGTCGGGAGATCCATAAAGGCCACCTTGAACGAATGACACTCACAGACTCTAAGTAACAGATGGCAGGGTGGCAAAACGCAGCTGAAGTTGAAGCTTACACCTGAGGTACCCCACCGGCCCATGCTCCCAGAACAGCAGGGATTGACACATTCCAGCCTGCGTACAATAGCCGGTTGGCCAAAAGTGCACCCGACAGGAAATCACTGGGGCGCACATTCGGGCACCACGAACTGGTCGGGATCCACGATCAGGAGTGCCTTGTGTATCTTATGTGGCTGCGAGTCAAGGCTTCGAACCCTGCACATTGACACAAACCAGCCTTGTAGTAGCTGAGATATTTCTTTGCCTCAAGTCGCTTGCAGCAGGCCAGCACTATCCTTCTCGAGCCCATATACGCCCCTTGGGCAACAGTCTAAGGCTCAATCTGTGAACCAGCGCAACCAATTAGGAGCACGATGATGAGGAGGCCTGACCTCCATGCTTACCAGCGTGGGAAAACCGAATTCCGCCAGCCCACCATGCTCGAGGCCTCTGTGTCATCAGTCTCCAAGATGAAGGCTAAACCATGTCCTGTGACGTAGGGGAGGGCAAGGCAGGCTCCAAATTTTGACCATGTAAGCAATCAAGCACTGAGTCACTAAGCTGCCTGCGGAGGGCGTAGCATCTCCAGAGGTTCAAGAAAGGTTGGTAAGTGTGAATCCTGAGCACGCGAATCATGCTTCAGATGCTCTTGACAACAGCACCACCTGTTTCCACACCACCCCGACCGAAAATGCAACTGGCTTGGTGCGGTGCCCCCAATTCAACGGTTGCAACCATCATGCCCAGATTCACAAGTAGATTCAGATGCTCGATGTTGGGGGAGGAAGTTGCGCATTTAGTGTGAGAGAGAGAGAGCGAGCGAGAGAGACAGAGAAAAATAGATTGAGAAAGAAAGAGATTGAGAAAGAAAGAGATTGAGAAAGAAAGAAAGAAAGAGAGAAAGAGAGAAAGAGAGAAAGAGAGAAAGAGAGAAAGAGAGAAAGAGAGAAAGAGAGAAAGAGAGAAAGAGAGAAAGAGAGAAAGAGAGAAAGAGAGAAAGAGAGAAAAGAGAGAAAGAGAGAAAGAGAGAAAGAGAGAAAGAGAGAAAGAGAGAAAGAGAGAAAGAGAGAAAGAGAGAAAGAGAGAAAGAGAGAAAGAGAGAAAGAGAGAGAAAAAAAAAAAGAAAGACAGAGAAAGAGAAAGGTAGAGAGAGAGAGAGAGAGAAAAAAATAAAAAGAGAGAAAGCGATAGAAAGAGAGAGGAAGAGAGAGCAAGAGAGAGAAAGAGAGAGAAAGAGAGAGAAAGAGAGAGAGAGAGAAAGAAAAAAAAAAAAAAAGAGAGAGAGAGAGAGAGACAGGGAGACAAGGAGAATTTGGCAAAGGCCACCCACACGAAGGGAGACAACTTTTCAGAGGGAGCCCAGGAACCTGGCAAAGGCCGCCCACATGAAGGGAGACAAGGGAGACAAAGGGAGACAAAGGGAGACAAAGGGAGACAAAGGGAGACAAAGGGAGACAAAGCGAGACAAAGGGAGACAAAGGGAAACAAAGGGAGACAAAGGGAGACAAAGGGAGACAAAGGAAGACAAAGGGAGACAAAGGAGACAAAAGGGAAACACAGGGAGACAAAGACAAAGGGAGACAAAGGGAAACAAGGACCCGGAACCTGGTAATGCTCACCAGAACGTCGGCAATTCCTTCAATGAGTTTGGGGTAAAAGGGGAGACAGGCGGAGACAGGCAGCCCACGGACTTGGCCAAGGCCACCCACATGAAGCGAGACAAAGTGCTCGCACTCAACGCACCTAGATGCACCTAGAAAGTACAACACACTCGATGCACTTTTGGCTCGATGTTCGGCAGGCGGCGGTAGGTGTGTCACTCTGCGCACTGCAAATACAAGTCAGGCGAGGCACAACCTGAACCCCACCGATATGGGCGGAGTGGGAGGTTTCGAAGAAACCTATAGAAATCTGAACCAGTTTCGCGCCACAAACTTGCGCCATCAAGCGCGTACCGTGGCTCGCAACATGTCACTTCGTACACACGTGTACTACGAGACAAGCGGAGACAAGCAGCCCGGGGACCCGGCCGGAGCATCCGGCTAGGTCGGAATTCTGAGAAAGAAACAAGAACCCCTACAGGAAAGGGGACACGAGGGGACACAGAGAGGGACACAAGGCGACACAGGAGACACAAGGGGACACAGGGGGACACAGACACACAGAAACACAGAAACACAGACAAACACAAGAGGACACAGGGGAACACAGGGGGACACAGGGGACAGGGGGGGACAGGGGACAGGAGACGGACAGGGGACAGGGGCGCACAGGCACCTTGCTTGCCACAGGCGTTGTCCTTCCGGTTTCGAACCGAATTCCAAAAAAGGGGAGGAGCAGGATAGTGGGCAGCGCCTGAGATTGGCGACTATTTCTGAACAGGACGGCAAACAAACAAAAACACATGTAGTCGCACATGACACAAGACGAACACCACGGATCAAGTAGATGCAGCCTGGAACAACATACCTCAGCTCCGTACTGATTCGGTGTTGCCTTGGCACTTCTTGGCACGGGCTGGGGGGGTTCTTGTGGTCCTGACCCAGGTTTGGATTTGTTCACAACCTAGCCTCTTGCGGCCACGCTGAACTTGAAATTTCGGCGCGTGCCGGTTGCCTTCCCAACCCTAAAATCCAACGATTCTGCACCCTGTGCAAGCATCTCGCCGAGTAAACCTCAAACATTTAATTCTGCACGAGATCCAGAGTTCCGATTTTCAAGTTTACGGTGCACTTCACAAGTTCCATCATCATAGTGCTCGCAGTCTGAATCCTGCCGGGGCTTTGGCAGCCACCAGCAGGGCCACCTGGCCACCGGCTCCTGCAAAGCTGCCGAAGCCAGGACCTGACGGCAAGGAGTGACAATGAGACGTTAAAAGCCTGAGCCTAAAGAAAGGAACCACCAAGTCTGTTGAAACCATCTGACGCCTCCAGCCCGTGCCAACGCAGGAGGCGGAAGCCTGTGTGCACGCGGTCTATGGCACTATCATGCACTATCCCAAGTTCACCAAGAAATGGAAACTGGCTGCCGGCACAAGTGTTGTCAGCTCCCGTCGGCGAGCCTGAGCTGGACTCTTGGAGACTGGAAGGTACCAATGGTTCAACTATGTTCAACTGGTTCACCCCAGTGTAGCACATACGGGCAAAACACAGCTCACGTGCTTCGTGCTCGGCATGCTGCTGCCGCACATTGCCCTCGCCTCACAAAAACCTCAGCACCAGTTCACAAGTCTTTGTAAGTTGGCTGTCTTCGAGCTGACGAAGCATGTTTAAGAGTGCGCGCTGTGTGCCCGAGCCATCTCCGCAAGGGCATCCACGTCCTCACTAGAAACCGCCTCAGCGTGGGACGCCTCAAAAAAGATCCGTTCACACTTGAGAGCCAAGGCTGCCATGAGGGCAAGCGTTCTCGAACAACACAACATATCACAAGTCAATATCATGCATCATACAGCTAGATTCAGTTGATACGAATGGCTCTCACGGCAGCTGGATTTTCTTGGAGATTGCGTGTTCGAACCCTCTTAGGGCCAAGGCCCTGCTAGGCTCTGCAGGCTCCGTAAGCTCTTCTCCATCTGCAAGGAAGGAATAGGCGCGGACCAACCTCGCACACCAAAGACAACGTTTTTTGAGCATTTTGAAATGGTGCAAATCGGTGAACACAAGTCAGAGGGTGCTATTGCCAGATGATGCGCGACGCATATGACTCTCTTAGGCCCACACAAGAGGAGGGTTTGAGTACAGCGTGCAGTCTCCACAAACTCTGCTGCAAGGCCCTCCAAGCCGCATGCACAGTTCCGAACTGTGACATGGGATTCTGCGCAGACTGTCGCCCACACATGTCGCATCACGCCTGCAACAACAAGGCCACGCCACAGGCCTGCCCAACAGAGCCAAGGAATGAAGTAGCGTAAAGGATGCACAAATTAGCATCATTGAATCTTGGCATCCCTTTTCGAGGCTATCTCAGCCAACAGCTAGCAGCTAACACTCACCAGCTCCCTTCTGCGTCCATGATTGCTGTTGGGCATCGTTGGAAGGAAGCCTCTGGGCAGAAGCCACAAGCGCTGTCCCCAAATGCAACGCCCACAAAGTTGTCTGACCTGGTCCAGTGGTCGCGTAATTATGCGGCCGTAAACACCCTTATCTGGAGTGGCTTGAAAATGGGAACGCGCACCTCCTCGACCTCCCTTTAAGTATACGATGCACAGGTCGAAAAATTGAATACACAAACACAATGATTCTTCTTTGGCCATGATTTCCTTGCGCATTACTGCAAAGAAACACAACGTGCATGCGAAGAACCAAAGAAAACAGAGTGTGAGACAGAGAGAGAGGGAGAAAGGGGAGGGGAGGGGAGGGGAGGGGCGGGGAGGGAGGGGAGGGAGGGGGACGGAGCAAAAAAGACAGAGAAAGAGAGAGCGGGAGAGTGAGAAACACTGCGCGAGCACGTCTTTCGCTAGCGGAAGCTGTGAGACGAAGCGCCCTCTTTTCCCCCGAGATCTGTTGGTGATGGCTTTACAGTGGCTTCCTGTTTTGTTGTGGTTTGTCCCATGAAGAGTGCAAAGCCAGGCCTGGAGCACATGCGTGTCAAGCACTTCTGCAGCTGTACGAGCTCCCTCTGTTGCCCCGCAGTTTTTAGGGAAAACCATTCGAGCCAATCCTGAAAGCCTGAAGAGGATGGACCCTGAACTCCGCAACCGAAAGGACTCATCTGCCAAAGGGCAACAACCAACGCATGCTTTCCTGTAATCTATGGTCACGTCCCTGTCCCCATCTCCTAGAGGTTCGCAGTGCGCCAGTGTTTGATGAGGAGCAGGCATCGCTATGCAGCTTGCCAAAGAATCTTCCTGCAGTACCTCGTCCGTGCATTTGCTATGATGGCAGAAGTGGGCTTCCGCACACACGACCATGGTTCAAGCTATGTCTTGGAACATCACACGGGTCATCCCAAGTCCCATGCAGGAAAAGCAGCAGCCAAGGTTTCAGCTTTGGATCCCTATTTACGGCAAAAGCCAGTGCTTGTAGGCATGCATCACCTGTGGTGCATGGAAGCTGTCTTTGGAGTAGGCGATTGAAGCATAAAGAGTCTGGGAAACCAGCTTTGGCTGCAGCAAAGTGATGTCTTGGCAGCCGATGTATTGACAAAAACACGGATGGTCCGCAGAAATCCTTAGAGGATGTCGCTATGAACATGGCATGCAGCACACTGGAGCATGCAATCTGGTAAGGAACAGCATGCTGCCCTCTGTAGGAATTTGCGCTGAGGGAATTGAGATTCAACAAAAGGGTTGCACTTGTCGAAAGAAAAAATGCGATAGTGACCAGATATTTGGGTGGCCCCAGGCAACTCTCGCAGTACTCCTGCCATCATGTCTGTCAGAAAGTGGATAAGTTTAGTCTCACAACTGATCTGTGAAGTTGTAAGTGCGCACACGCGGAATATTAGGGGTTTGTGTGGCCGGGGGCTGGGAGCGCAAGAGCCAGTGCCAAACTCTGCACCATCAGACCGAATCAGACCCTTCTAGTACCTGGCCTGAAGTCCCCGCCAACTGTACCCAAGAACAACTTCGTTTGCTCAGATTGCTGTCTAAGGATGTACCAAAAAACTTGAGTTGTAGCCTGCGACTGCAATGTGTGAGTGGGGGCGGGCTGAGTGCGGGATGGTGAATGAAATTCTTCGATTTCGGTTACAGCTGTGAGTGTGAATGCTGTAGGGTCCCGTATGCGAGACAGGGGATGATACCATGTCACACACATGGGCGCACAGGCAGGTCAGCACCAGCCAGACGCAGAGCAACAGCGGCCGCCTACTGCGTGAGAGGATGCAGGAAGCTGATTAATGGGTACAACGCTGCAAGCTCGATGGCCTTGCCTGGCCACATTGACTCAAGAACTCTGGCAAGCCAGATGGCTCCTTAAGAGCACACGCACACGCACACGCACGCGCACGGCGCACGCGCACGCGCACGCGCACGCGCACGCGCACGCGCACGCGCACGCGCACCCGCCCACGCCCACGCCCACGCCCACGCCCACGCCCACGCCCACGCCCACGCCCACGCCCACGCCCACGGCCACGGCCACGGCCACGGCCACGGCCACGGCCACGGCCACGGCCACGGCCACGGCCACGGCCACGGCCACGCCCACGCCCACGCACACGCACACGCACACGCACACGCACATGCACACGCACACGCACACGCACACGCACACGCACACGCACACGCACACATACACACACCCACCCACACACACACACACAACATCTCGCGGGTATCTTTCTCGCTTGCTGGTCACGCCTCTTCTGGGGGAATGAAGCATTTACTGCCGTCACACCTGCGAACTTCAGTCTGGATTCAGAACCGTTCATGGCAGATGTCAATCAATGTGTTTGTCCTTGACAAGGCCTGACCAGTCCGCCTACGCCAATGGTTAACACCAGGGCCTGTGCAAGCGCATCACCGATCGATGTCGAACAATCTGTGTGTGATCTGTCCCACCTGATAAGCCACGAAAGATCGAGTTGGCATGATCCAACGAACCATCGGAAGCCATGGTCAGAACACCACATCCAACCAGTTGTTACATGATGTGGGCATGAATGTTGCGATGCCGGTACGGGTGACCAATCTTTCTACATCAATGCTTGACTTCTGAAGGGTCCCGGGCACTTCTGTGCCACTCTTCCCTGCCCGGAAAACACCTTCTCTTCATCCAAAATTCTCACATTTTGTTGTTGCGAGCCCAGCCTGCCCTAGCCTGACTGATTTTGGCTAGCAATGCCCCGCCTTGGGCACCAACATTACTGTGAAGAGCATGCTTCAACATGCCTTTCATTGTCAAGGGCGATGAACCGCTCTCAGACGCTCAGAGTCTCGCAGCGAAGCAAAAAGCTCGACTGGGAAAGCACACACGACAGCAGAGGCTTTGTCATGCTGATTAACCGCTGCACACGGCACTGTGGACTAAGAAGGCGAAAGCACGCCGCATCAGCTCGTTTGACCTTGCCTTCAAGCGTTAGAAGTACTTGCAAGAATACCCTTCGAGACTGTAGGCAGCCCTCGTTCCAGACACCTGGTGCTCCTCGCCTTTTTTGGGAACCACCGCGCTGCTGCTCACTGGTGTTTGATGTATTTGATCTTTGGACCATGCGAGGCTCAGCAAGCAGCTCAACAAACAATGCATAAACTTCTGCGCAACAACTTCAACGAAATCAGACCATGTCCCTGACCTACGGCAGGTGCAAAGTCGCACTCGGGTTCACAAGACTGTTGCTGGTACACATTGCCGTGCTTTGGCAACAAGGGCTTACTTCAATTTGATCAAGGGAACTTCCAAGCTGCTTGCTCCCACACCAGAATGCCTATAAAGCAGGCCACCATCGCTCGGCATCTATTGCCGTCTGCTGATTCGTGACTGCCTCAGTTACGTCGTGCAAAACCCCCCATCATGCATGGCCATGCAGGAGGACAACTGCCAAAGCCTGAAGAACCTCTACTTTTTGTGCGCTTTTCATACAAGGAAACTCAAAAGAAAAGGATTGTAGGCAACATGACGGGCTTCGTGCCGAGAAGCTCTCCACCGCTGGCCTTGCTGGTATACTCGGATGTCTGTGCTGCCATGTCAGCTCCGCAAGCCACACACAACCACGAAACGTTGGCAGCCATGTTGCGCCGTGGAACTGTCAGTGTTGGCTTCACACCCGCTGTCGTGCGAAGATTCTCTTCCTAGCAGACCAAACAAAAAAAGCAAGGTCAACTGATGTTTCCAGAGCAGTGTTTCGCAGCTGACACTCGTTCTGAGGGAGCAGCATATACGTTGGGGTCTCGGGCAACCACACACTCCTCAACAAAACCGCAGTCACATGCTGTTTCAATACACATTCAAGGCGGATGAAAAACTGAAGAAACTGAAGGCTTTGTGGAGCCGAACGTTTGTGACGCGCGTCCTTCCCCAAGGCATCTCGTAGTGGCCATGGCAGCATTGCATCCAGCAGCTCCGGTCCTCATGATTGGCCCCAACTTCGACGATCTCAATTCAACCAGACTACGAAAAATCTGTGCTCCAGACCTTCAGTTCTCTTCCATCTCTTCCCGCCTCCTTGCAGATGATGCCTCGGGTTCTGACTGGACACCTGACATCTCTGCACGTGCTCTTTCGTGTCTTCAACAGGCACACTTGTCAGCGACATGCCAGTCCGAAATCCAAACGAAAATTGCTTGAACCCGATACTCCGTTCGCGCGGCTGTTTCTGATCGGCGAAGCTGGAAAAATGCAGACCTGCATGCCGGCAGAACGACACGTGCAGTGCGCATCCTCCACTGGACCCCAAGTCCTTCAACCACCCAGACCGCCCATGACCGCCCATGAGCAGAGCCACATCATCAGCGGAAAGAAGCGCTGAAACGATTGATGTTGTGGAATCAAGCCGTCCCTGCGCGGAAAATGCAGCCAGAGCTCATGTGTACAAATTGGGGGAACCACATCACTTCAACGCCCGGACACCACTTCGGTCGACTTCACATTCAGGCTGAGCCACCACTCAGAGGAAAAAACCGAAATGAATGCCTGCTTCACTGCTTCAGTGATTTCTGCATGAGCAACGAGCTACCTCATCGAGCAAGCGCCATCTCGCGAATGCGATATACAAAAATTATACAAATATCCCATGTTGTGGAAGTTCTGAGGTTATGTTGTCATGCCCGCGCGGGGGGGGGGGGTGTGCTGCAATTTCGCGTCAAGCCTCTAAGTCTCTTTTCGGTGAAAGGGCCTCATTTTTTCCACGCTTCTTCAAGCCTCTTTAAGCCTCTCTTAGCAGCATCTTGAAGCCTCTTTTAAGCCTCTTTAAGCCTCTTTAAGCGTCTTAAAGCCTCCTTGAGCTTTTGAGCCTTTTTGATTCTTTTTTAAGAAGCCTCTTTAATCCTTTTTCAGCCTCCTTGAGCCTCCTGAAACACCCATGCCACAGTCGCTTTAGGACATTACGAACCCATGTAATGTCCGCCGTCAGTCTTTGCCTCACACGGAGAAAAATGAGCGCGGAAGAAGGAGACCAGATTAAGATCCCGAGAACGAGGCCACGGTCTGCCCTCATTTTCGAGCATGCGACAGCCTGCAGTCTGAGGACGGTGTGCCATGGAAGGCACCATCCCGTCGGCCCCAGCGATGCACGCTTGTGACCGGCGTGCATCAACGCAACATCCCTGAAATTTAATCGTCGCGATGCGCAAAGTGGCCTTCCAACAAGCTCCAAAAGAAGGAAAAAACGCCCCACCCCCACCCCCGACATTTCACGACCATAAGTGGGAAATGTGTCTCCAACTAGTGTCTGGTCACAGCAGCACGTCGAGTTTGAAGCAGGCGCGTGGACGAGCCTCACATGTAACATGGATGGAAAACGACACTTCAAGCCTCTAGCCTAGATGTCTCACATAATGCATGTAGCGCAGGAATGTGAGGACTTGTTTGCGGCAGCCGGTGACGTGCAGCGCCTCCACTGGGGCCGCGGGCCCACACCTAAGCCACTTGTCAAGGATTGTTGGGATCTATGCAATGTCTTGTGCATTCCTCAGTATCCTCAGTTAACCGAACATGAAGCGGAAAGGCATCCCAGACTTCAGGACTCGCGCCACGTAAGTACTTGTGGTTTCTACTTGCCATTTGCCTAGCAGCCTCACACCACACTGCAGGGTTCAGGAGAATTCAAGAGTTGCCACTATGTGCGACCAGCATGGAAAGCAGATGACACGAAGAACCACGCCGAATACATCAGTCTAACCTCCAGAGGACCTCACCTAGCTCCATGGCATCGGAGACTCAGGAGAGCCTTGCCTAAAAGGGCAACAGGGAACAGGGCTTTCCTCAACAGCGGGGTGCTCCTGCATAGCCTCTCCACCACATCTGACAACTGCTACTCGCGACAGCGCATCATCGCAGGGTACTCAGCATCGTCGCTTCAGAGCACCGCAAAAGTTACGTGACCAGACCAACCATTTCAGGCAAGAGTAACGCACCCGGTTAGTCCACTTTCATCAGAAGATTGCCGGGCACTTCGGATGTCCAAATCGTTCCCAATCTCAAAACTACACACCCACCGTGCAAGATGCCCACCACACCCCAGGCAAATGCTTTGGAGGAGGACCCAACCCAAGATGTCACGCACTCTGTTCCCATTGGGTTGCCTCAACCTGCGCCTGACTGGCAACAACAATGCCAGCAACATACAGGAAGCTGCCTTGCAAGGCCGTGGCGGAGGAGCGAAAGCTCAATCAAGCCATCCGGTGGTTGCGGGGAAACACTGTCACTCAATCCTAGGTTATGCTCTCCGCTGTAGGTGCTGGGGCTCTCTAGAGAAGCTTTTTGCCAAGCCTGAGTCTCGACCGTTCTTACTGCTTCTGCTTCGCTCGGAACAGGGCCCCTGTGGAAAAGTCACATGCTGCCAGCACATAGCCCGTAGCGTAGTGCAAACATGTGCAAACAAGCGGCTCTGATGGAACTGACATGCGCGTTGTCATTCTTGTCACACACACCGTTCAGGCTGCGAACAAGCTGCATGGGCGGCAGTGCGGCATGTGAGGTCCCTCTTTGGAGCTTTGTACTTGTGCTGCGTCAGTTTGATTCGGCAAGACGGTGGCCATGAGGCATGCAGCCATTGACTGGACGCCACAAGTCTCTGCGAACAAATTCGAACGATGCCCAACACAAAGCCAACATGCCGTTCAGCTGCAGCAGCGCGAGATTCGGTTGCAAACTGGAACTATCACAAAATAAGACCTGCAAGAACTCCAAGGCCTACGAATGCACATTCACAGCAGACCTGCTCGCAGATTAAGCGCGCGGGGCTATTCTAGATTGGCCTAAGAAAGGTCTCGGCATCCACTTTTTTTCCCTGAGAAGCCCTTCTCGGGTTGATGCCAGCAGCTCACATGCCGAAGTTTTCAAGATATTTTTTCTTCTTTTTCATTTTGAAGGACAACAGATGCTGCACCTAAGAAGTATATAACTACAGCGGTACTCGCGCATTCCTTCTACCTGCCTCCACGTCGTTTCCAGAAGATACACCCTTCATTCAACGGTTTCATGAGGTTCAACTGGTTACGGAACGACAAGGGGAAAGAACCTGTACAGATTCAAGCGTCGCCATGCGATCGCCTGATTAGTTTTTGAAGAATTGAAGATTACTGTTCTTGTGGGAAGGTTTGTTTGCTCCGTGTTGTTTTTTCATGCTCCTTTCCCACAATGAGATCCAAGTGATCTTGAAGCACATGTGCTCCGTGCGCTGCAACTTTTGTCCGAGCTTTCACTCCGAGCAGCGGGACGTCACTCCGCAGCGCTTCCTGCCACAGCGCACACATAAGACTTTGGGCATCTAGTAGGCGGAGACAACCGAAGTTCACCTTTGGCACGCTTGCTTGGAGGTTCCTGAGCAAGTTCCGAAGCCTTTGGCTCCTGAAAAGACTCGGCTTTGTCCGATGAATCCGATGAAGAACACAATGGAGTTCACACTTATTCAGCATCAGCTTTGTGGCCTCCGACTGTTCCCGTAGTCGGTCTCGGGTCCTCCAGTTGCCACATGCCGTTCCCATGGTGTTTCCCATTGCGCGATGTTGCGATCTTTAGCGAAGTCCTCATCAAGGCTTCACCTGACGCATGGACTTGCACATCTCAGTTTGATTATGAAGGCGGGTCCGGCCTAGAATGTTGCGTCCCAGCCATTTGTCTTTGCTTTGCACCCTTGGATCCTCGTCTCGCTTGCGCAAAACTGTCGGCGGACTGTCGACACAAAGCACGCCGTCAAAACAAACGCATTTGCAAATTCAAAGGGCGGAATGCTGAGGAGTTGACCCCAACATCTAGACCGATGCCCCATATTTTGTCATTCCTTGTAGCTTCTGCGATCACCATGTCGCCGGTGGATAACAGCTTCTGGCAGCAAAGTCGGGCAGCAGCAACAACAACAACAACAACAACAACAACAACAACAACAACAACAACAACAACAACAACAACAACAACAACAACAACAACAACAACAACAACAACAACAACAACAACAACAACAACAACAACAACAACAACAACAACAACAACAACAACAACAACAACAACAACAACAACAACAACAACAACAACAACAACAACAACAACAACAACAACAACAACGACAACCACAACAACAACAACAACAACAACAACAACAACAACAACAACAACAACAACAACAACAACAACAACAACAACAACAACAACAACAACCACAACAACAACAACAACACCAACACCAACACCAACAACAACAACAACAACAACAACAACAACAACAACAACAACAACAACAACAACAACAACAACAACAACAACAACAACAACAACAAAAAAACAACAACAACAACAACAACAACAACAACAACAACAACAACAACAACAACAACAACAACAACAACAACAACAACCACAATAACCACAACAACCACAACCACAGCAACCACAACAACCACAACAACCACAACAACAACAACCACAACAACAACAACAACAACAACAACAACAACCACAACAACAACAACAACAACAACAACAACAACAACACCAAAAAGCAACAACAACCACAACAACAACAGCAACAACAACAACAACAACAACAACAACAACACCAACAACACAACAACAACAACAACAACAACAACAACAACAACAACAACAACAACAACAACAACAACAACAACAACAACAACAACAACAACAACAACAACAACAACAACAACAACAACAACAACAACATTTTCATTTCATTTCATTTCGAACGCATGTGCGGGTCATGTCCCGTGACCTACTCGTTCGGGACCTGGTCTGTTTCGATGTCCTGGCCATTGCAAGCCAGGTGGGTTGCGCTTCTGTACACTTCTCTGCGAGATTGGTCTTCAACCTCAGCAGGCAAGCTTGCAGGCAGGCCGAGTCTGGGGGGCATCAGCTATGCAGGCTGGCGCTTGTGCATTATGAGGCATGGAGGCTTTTCTTCTGCAGTGCGAGCAGTGGTCTGGAGGTGTGATTAAGTCCAGAATTCGGACTAGAGGAACTTAGGGATTCTATGGTTCAGTTTGCTGGAGGCGACCTCACTCGCATACTGGAACCAGGCTGGTTGTCCGATATGGGGACGCCAGAATGGCAGCTTCTCGAGCTCGAAGGAGGGACCGAAGCCGTCCACGATGAGAGGAGGTGAGCATCTTGAACACTATTGCGTAGGGCTTGTGCTCTTCGTAGATGTCGTCATAGAGCGGATTGATGATTTGATAGAAGCGGAGGGCCATGCTGTTCTGGAAGTCTTGAGAATGATCCTCAGGGTTAGGAATGCCAGCATTAGCTCGAAATGCAGAGTTGACTTGCTTTAGCAGGGCATCCTCGAAGAGCTCCAGTAGTTCACCTCGCGAGATAACCGTGTCCGCGATCATGGATCGAATCCAAGAAACTTCCTCTGCATTAATCTCTCGAAGCAGCCACTGCCTGTACGTGACCAAATCCTCGCGAATTTGGTCCTGGTAGTGCGTAAGATGAGGCAGCAGAGCCAGGAGATGTTGGTCGTAGGATAAACCATTGAGGTGATGGTCCTGATGTTGAAAGCGCCATCCATTCTTAACTGGCGATGCCCCTTCGGCGGAAGAAGAGACTTTGAGCAGCTGCTGCACCCGGTATACTGTGGAGGCTCGCCTTAGCGCCTGCAGGTCGAAGTATTGAAGGTCCAGTTGCTTGTCATCGTGCAGACGAAGATTGTCAGGGAAGTAGTCCGAGCCTTGTCCTGGAGCATGCGATGGCTGTGACTGCTCAATGCCTGAGAGTAGGCGTGGAGTTGACGATCGCATGAGAAGGTGTAGATGCGACAGGGCGTTGGCAATCATGAAGTGCACCTCACCTTGGCCGAAGTGGCGCGTCAGGTACGTCCAGATGCGCTGGGTGGTAGGCTCCGCATCTTCGAGCTGGAAGGAGTTCTGGCCAGGACCATCATTGGTGTAGTCGCGAATCGCCTGAGAGATGAAGAGGAGCTGGCGCTTCTGATGGTACGTCAGAGTAGGAGAGCGAGGCTCTGTCAGCATCATCTCTTCATGCTTCCGTTTTGCGGCCAAGTTTCGGGGTGCAGTTTTGGGAAGGTAGAGCCGCAACTCTCCCATGTGCCGGTGAACTTTCTCCGCGAGCAGCTTCAAGAAGCTGCAGGTGCGCGAGGCTATCCGTATCTGGCGGTTCAAGTGTGGGATCGCTTCCCCCGCAGGGGTGCGTGAGGATGCCAGGTCCAGCTCGCTGCGGCGGCGCCAGATGGAGTTGTAGGGTAAACCGGCAGCGGTAGGAAAAGAGACTCAAGAAGTACCTCCATTGCCTGTTCACGGCTGAGGACGGGGTGAAGGTCTGCCATGGGCCTAGGTGGAAGTTCGCCAGGAGGGGACCTCACTCGTGCGAACCTGAGGGAAAACTTTGCGAGAAGAGCTGTGCTTAGTGAGGCTTGGCGTGGGAAGATCGGAGCTACACGCTTTTTCCCGCAATTTGGGAAGATAGTGCAGTGAACAGGAGGGGACCTCACTCGTTTGGAAGGCTTTGGTGCTCGGACGGTCTCTAGCCCCGAATTTTGTCGTCTAGCGTCTGCTTCAGACGTTGACGATGTCGAACGAGGAGCAATGTCAGCGCCACAGCAAAGTTCTTATAGTCATCATAGACCTGGTCGTGGAGCGGGGAAAGAATTGTGATGACTCCTTGTGCCTGCTCGAAATCTCCTTGGTCTCCTCCATATCTGTGTCGTATTTGTTGCCAGAGACTGTCAGCAAAGTAGCGATGCAGAGTGTCTCTAGGTAGAAGCTGATTCACTACCAGGTTGCGCACCCACAGGAAGTCCTCATCGGACAGAGGGGTTGACAGCCATAGGCGGTACAGTGTCAGGATCTCTCGGAGTGTCTCCTGATAGTGCGGGATCATTGAAACCAATTTGGTGTGGTAGTCCTCGTAGTCAAGCTTTGAGAGATCACGGTCTTGTTCAAGGAAATCCCAGCCATCTCGGATCTGGTCGCTGGCCGATGTAGGTGTGGAGGCCGTAATAGTCCGCAGTTGTTGTAGTAGGCGAAGCTGAAGTGATGCTCTTTTGAGCGTTCTGAAATCGTATGCGTCAAGATCAAGCTGATGTGGGTCTTGAAGCCGGAGGCCTAGGGGGAAATATGCTTGGCCTTGCCAGGTCTCCGCCGTCATTTGGGGATGCAGCTGGAGTAGGTTCCGTTGATGTGCTGGAGTGAATTCAGACCTCAGAATGACCTTGGCCTGCTCCAAAGTGCGGAGCAGAATGGCATTCAGCTCTGATTGCGAGAGCCTCCCGGTGAGATAATGCCAGGTTAAAGCACCAGCCTGATCGGCTTCGGACGTGCTAAAGGACGGCGAGCCTTCTCCGTCATTTGTGTAGTTGTGGATCATGAGGGTGAGGTACATGATTTGCTGGCGCTGGAGGGGCCCCATATTCGGGGGTAGGTGCGCTGAAGGCTGCTCGTCGTCGATGTGCTTGCGCTTACCTGCCAAGATACGTGGGCTAGCCTCAAGGGGCAGGGCAGTGTGTCTTCCCTCGCGCCAAGCCAGGTACCGATCCAAGTGACATATGAAGCTGCAGAGACGTGATGCTACTCGCATGCTTCGTTCTGCCATGCGTTCAAGGTCTTCTGTAGTGAAGAGGAGCCTCCTCGGGGCGAGATGAGTTTTTGCTGAGGCTGATGTGACCATGTGCTCACTGATGCCGCCAGGTAGGTAGATGGTCGTTGGGACGTGGAGCGACTTCAGGAGAATCTCGAGCAGAACCTCGCGAGACGGTGAAGGCATGGCTGGTTTGCTAGCCGGGTGGAGACCTCACGTGGTCAGCCTGTGTGGAGAGGCTGAGCCCGGCTGTGGCAAGCTTCAATGAAAGCAGAAAGCTGCAGACTTGAATGTGTTACTAGGTGAATCAGCCAGGGCTGAGGCATTGGCTCTGCATCAGGCTCCAACTATCTGCAGAAAGACCTTATTGCCGGAGAATGCCGCAGTAGTCTTAGTGAGAAGGGACTGTGCTGCAGTTGGAGATGCAGGAGACTTTTCCGCTGCTTTATCTTGGCTTGCAAAAGGCTGCTGGTGTCCTAGTTGGACAGAGACGTTGCTAACCTGGTGCTCTACTTTGCAGGAGGGGACCTCACAAGCAAAGTTGCTAGCAGGCTAGGGTGCAAAAAGGCGAAGCAAGGACTGGTGCCTCTCGTGCGACAAAGTACGATGAAGTGATCGAGCCCGTTGGCGGTTCAGGGGAGTGAGCATCTTATAGACGATCGCAAACGGCTTGTACTCCTCGTAG